CTGGTTGTAGCCTGAAGGAGACCGGATGGGGTGATCACCAAGCACTCCTGCCACCCCGCAGAGTGGGCGCAGCGCATACTGGGGTCAGGGCAAGGAGAGGAACAGGAGGAAGAACAGCATGTTCAAGGCTGCAGACTGGCTGGGGGTGGGGTGGGGGTGGGGGTTCGGGCCGCAGGCATGGAGAGGAGCCCCTAGGTGGTAGCAATGAGAGGCTGAGTGGGCAGTGGAGCAGAGGCTCTCGGGAAGTGTGGCCCCCATGACAGACTGGGCACCAGCCTCAGATTCTGGGTGCTACGGAGGTGCTGGGGGCCATGTGGGTGAAGAAGAGAGGGCACCGGAGCTGTCAGCACTTCCCCTAATGCGACCCACCTCTGCGGAGGTCACTGGCCTCAAAGGTGCCTGTGACCGGGTAACAGGTGGTGCCGTCACCCCCACACCGCAGACACTTGTCCTCCTGCTTCTGTGAGTCTAGCTTGTGGTCACAACCGACAACCTGCCAGGCCAAGGTGAGGACCAAGGTTACATGTGGCCTTTGACACCAGGGAGGAACCGGGCAGGCTTCAAACAGCCCAGCCACGAGTTCTCCCCACAGAGCGAGGCTCTGCAGCCAAGCCACCCAGCCGATGTTCCCCGGGCAACAGGTTTCAGTTCCTGAGGGAATGCAAACAAGTAGATCTCATGCTCTCGGGGATTGAGGGGGACCCCATGCTCGGCCATACAAAGCCTGTCTCCCGCACCCAGTCTTTGTCCCCTCTGTTCCCCAGTGCAGCCTGAGAGTGGCCCAGCATGACGTCCTGGAGCCTCCTCTCCTGGCCCCAAGCACATGACCGAAACTGCTGTCAACTTTATCTGTCCAGGGCTGGGGGTGTGTGTGCCTCGGGGCAGGAATCCCCCCCTCACAAACATGGGGGATGGGGGATGAAAGGGACTGAGAGCAGGGGACACAAGGGACAAGACTCACCCGGCAGCTGCCGTCCACACAGACATCCCGTTTGCCAGGCTCACAGGGGGTCCCATCCACCACGGCCTCCTTGTGCTTGTAGTAGAAGTTCTCCCCCTTGGCAATGCAGTTCAGAGCGCACCTGTGTGGCGCTGGAGCAGGCAAGAGGGGAAAGCCGAGCTTCCAAAGTCCTATCACCACCTCCCCCAGGGCCACAGCCTATCTTAGCAACAGCTGAGCGGGGCCTGCCGGGCCGGGAGCAGACACGCAGCTGGGAGAGAAAACCCTTAAAGCGGCCCTCAGTGTCTCAGGCTCTCACCTGCTTCCCCGGGAGAGGGAACCGAATGTTCCGTGAAACTGCTGGTTCCCTGGGAAGCCGGTCCAAGAAAACCCACCAAGCCAGGAGAGAGTGATCCCCTTGCAGAGGTCTGTCTACCTCAGCATTAGCATGGTCACCCAAGTATGAACAAGAAGCCCTGCTGGTGCGGCGGGTTAAACGTTGGGCCAATGACCACGAGGGTCAGGGGTTCAAACCTACCAGCCCCTTCTCGGAGGGAACGATGAGGCTGCTTGCGTCTGTAAAGACCGACAGGCTCAGAAACCTGAAGCCGATGTTCTACTCTGTTCTACTCTGCCCTAGAGGGCCACTGTGGGTAGGAATGGACCCCGAGGCAGGTTTTGGGGTGTACTCTGTAAGGAAATTGTCCATCCATGGAATAATGCATGCTGGTGATGCAGTTACGAAGAGGATATGAGACCCGGACAGTTCTGTGGGGAAAAGCTTTTTAGCACATGGTGCAAAGCGTTATTACGTAGTAGTAGTAATTAGCTCCCTGCCATCATAGCGACCCTATTGATTGGACCAGGTAGAACTGCCCCTGGGGGCTTCTGAGATGAACTCTTTATGTGTAGAATGCCTAGTCTTTCTCCCAAGGAGCAGCTGGTGGTTCTGAACTGTTGACCTTGCTGTTAGCAGCCCAATTGGCAATCACTGCACCACCAAGGCTCCCAGTAGATAGTAATTACAACTATGTAAACGGTGGCCCTATGGAAAAAGGTGGGATTAGGGTCATTTGGGGTTTTCACTTTACATTTATCCATGTTGCATGCACATAGTTTTGAAACAGACAAAAAGTGTCAACAACATTCCGTTCCCCTCCACAATGGGCTTTCCTCTCCCCTCCTACCCTTTCCAACGTTGCCTCTGGTTCCTTATCTCTATAAATTAGATGCACTTCAAGTTGCCAACAGACGCCAGGCTTGGAATCTGGGCACAGGGACTGTCAGGGGACCTTGGTGTGGGACCTACCCAGGAGCACAGGACAGTTCACTCATCGGCAACCCGGAGGCCACGTGCAATGAGCGGTGAAGGCTGATAATCAGAAGGATTATCCTGTCTTCTGGCCCTGACACATGTGTTTTTCTCTTTTAAACTAAATTTTCCTAACGAGGAATGACCTCTATCCCCTCGAAGCTAACGTCAAAGGGCATCTGCTGAGGTCCCAGGCATTCAGAGTAAATTCAAGCTTGCTATATACCCCCCTCTTAAACCCCCAAACCAAGCTCCCTGCCAGTGACTGTAGATGCCGCCGACTTAGAGACAAAACTGCCCCTGTGAGGTCCTGTTCACTGGAGAAGCAAGGCCCGTCTTCCTCCCTGGGAGCGGCCGGGGGCTTTGAACTACAGACCTTGGAGATTGCCGCCCAACAGGAAACCACTGTGCCACCAGGGCTCCCTGGCACCTTCTTGGGGTAGGAGAAGTGCTTCAGATAATAACCATTGCTGTTGAGCAGGGCAGCTCGCCATACCCTCCATCAACTGGGCCACAGGCTTTGAGGCGGTGCACCTTTACAGAATTGGATTGTCTCATCCCGCTCCCAAAGCTTGACTGGGAGATTCGAACCGCCGGACTTACTGGTTATCAGCCCAGCACTTTAACCGCTGTGCTACTGGGGCTCCTATACCTAAAATCAGAGGCTCAACCAAAACGGGCTCCGTGTGGTAGCGAGCCGGGGCACAGCTGTTTGAAATATATTTACAGTACAGGGAAAACAACGCGGTGCAACGGGTTCGACGTGACCATCACTGTGGAGCCATGGCGTTGATACATATTCCTCCATTCATCTGACCAATGAAACACGTAAATGGGATTCCCGAAAGCAGCAGCCCGAGCTGGAAGAGGCCGGAGCCTGCTCACCCCCGTAGTAGGGCAGCCACTTGTAGCGCCGACCCTGGAACTCGGTGCCATCGAACTCTGCACACTGTTCGGCCCGGAAGTCGCGGGCGCC